CTCTCGGATATCCGGTGACTGCGTGCATGGCGACCGAGATCCTATTCCACTGAAGCTCAGTGTCATTAGGACCAGGCAGCAAAAGTTCGGTACGCAGTGCAGTTTGGTAGGCTTGCCCGACCGAGGGCTGGGATAATTTCTCAGTTGCCAATAGTGGGGGACGCTTGATGCGCCCCTGCTAAACTTCATGGAAAAGCGACAGCGTTCCAAAGCATTAAAGTAAGGCATCAGCTGTACATCAGTACGCAGTACCGACGCTTCACTGCAGGGCATCCACCACCCGTCGCACGCGGGCTAAAGATACTGCGAGCATTCCCCTGCCGCTGCGCAGGTCTGAAACCGCGCCGTTAGATTACAAGACAAGCTGGTTGCCTTCACGCTACAGGGCTAATGGAACCACGCCACCTGTAACTTATGGCAATTTGTTCTATTTAGTACCATCACTGGCAGGATCTGGAGGACGCCAAGTGGCACTTCTTCGCCCAGCATGTCTGAATGCAGTTCTATTAAGAAACAGCTGGTGCTCCGCATACAGTTACAGCAGACGCTCGCCGTTGTCAGTCCGTTCGGAGTTAGTCCCATAAGTACCACCTGACTACGCTTCTGAGAGCTCAGGCGACCTACTTGTGTATTCATATACCCTGCAAGTATTATGATAATTGAGCTGGTGACACTTCGTTGTTACGTGTTCAGCTCGTTTAGACTGTCCTTGGCAGCATCAGAACCTCAGTCAGTGGGAGCATAAGCGGATGCCACAAACAAAAGCGTCTAATGTGACTTTGTGAATCGACCTTAGTTGATGTAGTCAAACGGACCGCACACAACCGGCTGTTCATTGGAATCCATTCAACCATCGGTGACTCAGCCCTAGAGTTGAGCACGATATCTAACCCAGTTTGACCAGAGGCTGCCGCATCGGTGTCTCCGGATGCATGCAACCAATAGCGAGAGAACAAGCTGGGCGCAGGTGATACACAACTCCATGTGGGTCATCGATCCTGGTGCCGGATATGCAACACACGTCAATACCCAGTGTTTCCAACGTGCTTGTGATTTCAGCTTATTGACCTATTTGTCTAAAAGTGCGAACGTTGAACGCCACCAGGGAGACGGGACAGCGTGGTGTTTCAAGGAGCTGTAGCCGATTGGCTCCCAGTGGGTGGTGCAGGGAAGTAGCTGCAGATGGTTCGACTCCAGTGGCATTGCGACTGCTGTCAATTAAGCCGGGAACTATGGTAGGTAGGTTAATAATGGAGGTCGGATGGGAAGTAAGAGACAGGTAGAAGAGAAAGAAAAGAGGCGCCTGGAATAGCATGTTTTCGCTTATTCACCCTGCTGTATGCAGCAGATAAGGAGACCCTTGATAATCTGCGCGAAGGCCGATGCAGGATTTGATTTAAGTTTGAAGAAATAGTCATGGTTGTCTGTGGGCTGATACTGCCAAGTCACCCAAACCTAGACAGGAGGATGATTAGGGTCCTTAACCAAATCCTTTCGCTCAAAAGCCTATCATCAAGGTAGCGGGGAGGTGGCAATGATTTAGTTGTACAGAAATGGACGTTGTCCCATTTCAAACTCCCAAGCTGGGGGACCAGGAAACTGAGTTTGTCTTATCTCTAACCATTGACCAACCTGGTGGGAGTGGCTCTCAATGGTCCCGGGGCACCATACAGTATAGCTCAATGGGTCAAGAAGGTCCGCAAACCGTGGCACAACGTTAAGGTCCAGTCTCATTGCGACAGCAGCTGCCACAGATGATGATGCGGTGTACACTAACTGCTTCTACGCAAGAATACTGCCAGACACAGTGTGGATTGCTGTACCCCTTGGTGTCCCTGGGGCATCTGTCCAGCGAAGTAGCTCAAAATGACCACATTACCGCGAGTTTCAGGTCGCCTGGCTCCATTCGTCAAACTCCTTGGTCTTGTAGCGCGTGCATCGAGTCCACTCCTGCCCATGTACGATGTCTGATTTTCTTCTTTTCTACGTGGGTTTCATGAAAGCATTCCTCACGATTGCAGACTGGGAACCTGTCTCATCCCTCGGCAGTACAAGACAAACAGGGTATCATACTTACAGGCTTTCACGTGAATGCTCTTAGAACATGCAACTCCGTTTAGGTAGGGTTTCTTCTGTCATTACAGTGTGTAAGCTCCTGCCTGCAATGGTATTGGCCGTCGCATACTCTAAAAATTTATAAGCCTGTTACTATTTGAAATGAGATTTTTAGTGACGTATAGAACAACGGAACCACAGGGACTGTCGGTCGCGATCCAAGGTGGAGTCTGCAAGATGATATGCAATTATGATGGATTAATAGGGCTTGTGAACTAGGGGCTCCAGGTGCGGCGGGCATTCGCCGCGTTGTTTTCTAGCCAGTTCGCGTCAGCGGGTCTCTGAAACTCAGGACATTGAGACAGCGAGAGAGACATTGAGAGACAGCGGAATGCCGTGTGGCTAGATCGGCAGAGAACGTCGGAGCGCCTTTGGATTTTAATCTTCACTGCGAGGTATCTTGCTCCTACGTTGTCCTGGTTGGATCAAACCTGGTATGAATTGCGGCCTTTAAGTAAACCTCTCGAAGCTGCATGTCCGGATTCTCAAATGACAGTACAATCAGAGGATGATGATGAGGTTTTTGCACAGTGAATTTGACCAATTTTCAGATCAAGTTCAACATAGCAGACTGTCACAGACAGTTTTAGATGAACATGACGACCGCGTTCAAAAAGCGCAACCACAGTGTTCGGTCCGCCACACGGGTATAAGCTTGAATCCGGTGTTGACATATTTGCCTAAGGTCTCTTTCTCTGCCTTGCTGAGGAACAGGATTTCTGGTTGTGCGAAGCGCATGCAGTTCCTCGACCGTGTCAACTCAAAAATGTGCTTTATGCACCCACGAAATACAATACACACGTTCCTGACATGGATTATTAGTGAAATAGAATACTACAAAAAGACACCAGTTCCTAGGAATACGCTAAATGGCCGAATTCACTAAAGTAATTTATCCATCAGCCCTTTATCCGCTCAATTTTGAGCGGCCGAAAATACATCTTGAATGAGGTACTACTGACCTATTGTAGGCACGTGTACGGGCATAGCTCGTACATTTATCTGCTCGATAAGTTTGATAAACATTCGGGCAAGTTTCTATGGAGGTGCTGACTACCATCACTGATAATTTTGGATGCAAAATTGTCGCCGGAACTAACATGGTTGGCTATAATAATGCCAACAAGCTACGGCTTAGATCCGAAGTTGGATTTGCAATACCCGCCGTGTAATTGGCTTGCGACACGCAATCTCTATTGAGATCTCGGTTCAATTGGAAGTATACCTAGGTCATTCCGATCACAAGGACCGTATCCCAATTGGAGGTGTTTCGGTTTATAGAGGAGCAACACCAAAACACATCACTCCGGCATAGATGTTTCACTGACCTAACGATCTCTTCGAAGTTTACTCAAGAGGCCAGGGAAGCTCACCGGAGGGCAGTAGACTCAATAGGCTTTCACGCACGCAGTGATAAATTGTAGGATCAGGCGACGGAGGATGCCTTTAGATCGGTAGCGTGAAACGGTCAAGTTAATTCCTCCACGTAAGACTACTGGTCAGTGCCACTCCCGGGTGTTTCACTGAAGTGGAAGACTTCGCCATCGTTGCAAATTTGAGAGCACTACGTGAAGACCTGGTACTGATTTTAGCTACTGAAAAAGATGCTTCGATTTTGTAGTCTTCGGTGATACGCAAGCCGAGAAGTTGTCCAGAAGGGTTTGTGATCTGGCCGATGGTTCTACCCTTGGATGATAAACTCTCAGGATTACATTTTCCGCATACTTCGGTACGATGGCTCCTTCGGGGACCGCGATTGAGTTCACGTAGGGTGCAGAATAAATCCCTGGCCTGTGATGAATCTGTACTGTTGGTGCGCATGGAAAATAATCCTTTAGTTTAAGAACACCAGCCAACTCCGGCTCCAGGTAGATCTTGCAACAGCAGTTCACGATTAACGCAACCAAAGGCGTTGAAACAGCCCAGCATGCACATGTGGGTGGATTTAAAAAAAATATAATTTAGCGATGAAAGCGCAAAATGTGCGCGGTAAGTTTTTGCACTTAAGGCGAACCTTTAAGTGCGATATGCAAACTGATAAAAATCATCCAATTGTGTCTGTGCTAACATCCTAATAATTAGCCTCCTCTAAGTCTTCAGTGCAATCTGCGTGTAAGAAATCATAAGAATAGGAAAAATATGTGTATTTCTCCTGACGCGAGAAACTGTTTATAGCGGTACAGGTCAATTTCTACAAAAGCATTCTACAATGCATTTCTACAAAAGCAAAAGAGATGCATAGGTGGACTTTTTAGGTGTGCGTTTCATGTGGTAACGTTCTGGTGGGTGGTTCAGGCAAAAGCCTAGGTTTGCGAACATTAATGTTTTAGTGTTTTTAGGTCCCTATTGGAATAGCTCATCGTGGGATTTTTCCCATGTAAATATGGTAGTTATGGTATTTAGATCAAGGTAATTGGAGAGTCAGCATCTAAATATTGCCACATGACCTGCGTGTAATTGGCTGTTTAGTCCACAAATACTTAAATCTGACGGGGAGGCAACTAGAGCGAACGTTCGTTCTAGCCTTCGGTATATACATTGTAAAATCTTTGTTACAATATTTCCACATTCCTTTCTTTAGCATCGGTGTAATGCTTGCGCTTCACCAGTTGTCGCCCATCGTATTTTATAAACATAACGTGTACAGTTCGGTGAAAGGCTGTTTCAGTTGATCAACACACTGCTTGAGGAAGACAGGTCGTTTATTTGTAATGGGTGGTTTGTTCGACTTCGGGTTGCTTAATTGCTTCTGTACCTTTACGCTATCCGCAGAGAGTGGGTAGTACTATTAAATAAATGACATATCATGGACCCATTTACCATCCTTCAGCTTCTTGCTTGGGCTCACTTACCCCTCATTTTCCCCATCCATTCGCTTTTTATAGTACCACAATGATTGGCCAACTGTCCATGGTTCATCGTTCTGGATCTTTATGAAACGCTACATACACGTATGTTTTACTGGGTGCTGTTTTAATCGGTCTCCATCATTGTCCTCAACTCTTGATGTCAACTTATCAGAGTAACTTTTCGGCTGCACTTTAACAAATTCCAGTTAATGAAAAGATTAATGGATCCAATATTTTCATACAATCTGTGTTGCCTTGTTGTGGCCTGCATACTATGGCTATGGATCGATTCTGGTTACCTTAAGATGCTAATCTTCCATCTCCCGGTAACTAGCACTTTATTTCTTAGTTACATATTACGTCCTGGAGTCTGCTGATCAATCACTTTCAAGTTCAGTGCCAGTATCCGGCGCCATAAAGGCTACCTTGTTCCGTTGTATCTCATTATATATAGTTCGAAAAATTTGACTGACTTAGTGGCATCTTAGACCTCTTTACTATCCTTTGCATCCTTATGGGGACGAGCTTCTGCTGGCTTTGTGTGTTTGTCTTCCGATTAGTCACAGTTTGTTCCAACTGATCACCCGTTGGTTGTGCGCTAGACAGTATCAAACCTCTGAGTGTGACTCAGCAGTACTTTTTTATGTTTCATGATCCTAGCTCTCATCTACCGATATCAGAAATATAGTGCTTCCATTGGTTATGGACTTGGCTAACCGATATCATTCGGTTTCCACCTAGAGACTTAATGTACATGTGCAGATGATTGCACTGACGAAGGACGCGCCTTGACCGGGATAAACTGGCTCCAAGTGGATTTATTACTGTTACCATTCCCTTAGCCTACTCGTTTTGATTGGGTAAGCCTACTCCTTCCTTGCACGAGACGGAGCTACATGTTTCTAATTTGATAGTTATTTCGATTGGCAACCAGCTCGGATGCCCGCAACTTTACTGTTATGCCACGTTATTAACATTCGTCTCTTGTGAGCTATTTACCCTTGGCTGGGCTAGATGGTGTTTAAAAGTACAGTCGGTCATTCCGAGTATTCACAGCCCGACTGCATGGAGTCGTTGAAAATGCATTGCGTATAACCAATTGAGGTTGGACCTTGTCTTGGTGCGATGGGTTGTGTGCTTCATTGATCAATTGAACTGTGTTGGGTGATGCCTCCTGCACTTACAGAGTTACTCATACCAAATTGGGCAAACTCATCCTCCTGGTCCTTTAGGTTGGGAGCTGCAGGTACAATGGTTCCTTATTCCTTAAGTCGCAATCCATTTAGCTCGTTGCTCACCTCCCGTTACCTTGTAGTCAGGCTTTTGAACGAAAGGCTTTGATGGAGAACCCCAATCGTTCTATCTAGACCTGGACAACCTGACAGTATTCTGCCTACACAATACAATGAACTTCTCTTCACACAGTTTATTGCTGCTCTGTCCTCACAGATGAAATCAACGGTGCTGCATCTGATGCATCTAGCGGGGCGAATAAGATTGAGGATGTCGCTACTTAGATTTTTCCGTCTTCTCATTTTCCCTCCTACACTTTTTAACTCTTGTCGTCCCGTTCCAATTTCACTTTTGTTCTCCCTCGTGTGAAATCCCACATTTTCCGCTTTTCCTCACCTTGCTCATATAGGCACTTTTCTTCTAGTTTCAACTCACGTCGTTGCGGAGCAGTACTGCTGCTCTGTCAACAAGCACACCTGTTTAACCAAACGAACAACAGTTCATCCACTTCTACTTGCAGTCCTTAGCCCTCGCTTAAACTTACATACCTCAGCGTACACACTTTGTTACAGCTCAGTTAACAGGCAGTACTTATCCGAACACTACAGACCCTATCGATCGATATCTGTTGCCTGTCAGATGCCCACTTGCAAGACTGGGATTCTGCTCACTTTACGACCCCCCCCCCTCGTCCATCCGGAGATGATGCAACTTTGTTTACTGGTGAAGCCAGTGTGGGCATTACTCTAATAGACTTGATCCCAGTTGTTAGCCGAATGTGCGTGTTCAGATTGGCTGGCTCGTTCAAAACCTCGAATAAGTGTGAGTCCAATAACGGACCTGTTTGTCATCGTTGTGTATACCCCAACAAACTGTAATGCTGATTCTGCAAAAGGTGGTTTCTAACTCCAACTGAACGAGCTTTTTCGTCAGAGCAGGAATAACAATGGATCAATGATCTTTGATGGGTAAAAGAGAACAAGCTTGATATGTTTGTACTAGAAGAAAGTGAGATTCGAAGCCATAGAGTAGTGGAATATGGAAGGAGGGTTGTGGAAGTGAGAAATTGTCGGGCAAAACGAAATAACAAATTGTTGCCGTTAATACTCGTTGGAAATAACCAGCAGATTGCTTGACCGTCTGCACAAATTTACCTGCGTCACTGTGGTTTATACTTCCAAAGAGGCTTGTTAGCCTGTAGATATCCAGAAGCTCCATTCATGTAACAAAGTGTAAGGCCTTCAATTTCAATTCGATATCCAATCGTTTTTTTTTGAAAGTTGCTAAGGTGGGGGCACAGACAACTGAGTTTGTAAGGGCGTTCCAGGGTTGGCAGACCTGGAGGGAAAAATACTTTCGTCGATTATCTAGACGATTGTATTGTTTAAGTTTCAGGCTGTTGCCCCTCAGCTTGGTGTTTGGACTGCGTTTCAATAGGTGGCGGCATACTTGACTGGGGTCCCTTACTCGTTGATGAAGCAATATGAATTCTCGACGTAGCCGCCGGTAGCGTCCGCGATACACCCCGAGTCTTCACTCGTTGATAGCGCGGAAGGTTGAGCAATCCCTTGACAGATTTCGTTGGTCGACGGGGAGTCTCAAACGCTGCAAGTTCACGCTTTAGCCTAGGTTACCACACCTGGATAGCGGATTCGAGTTAGGGACCTTCGTTAGCATTGAGCATCAGAGAGAATATAGATGATTCTAGACCCCTGAATGCCCTTCGCAAGAGACCAACATGCTTGTTACCCCTTTTTGAAGCGGACTCTTACTGAGTTTGTCCTGTATCCAAGCATCGAGGTCACTTTCCTGAGTGCTTATCTCCAAATCGTGCGCCTCAAGCTTGTAGGTGTAGGTGTATGTGAGCAACGTGGCACTTGTCCACATTGAGTGGCATAGCGTTCCTCACAGGCCAATCTCAGGCATCATCGAGATTGCGCTGGAGGATCTCGTGGTCGTCCATTCGCTTGGTCACTCGCCAAACCTTAACGTCGTCTGTGAAGAGAAACATTTTAAGGTGATAACTGTAGCTTGATCGGAAAAGAAAACTAAAAACAGACGATGCCCAGGGACCGAACCCCGTAGTACGCCGCACTCCACTCTAGTTCGGTCAGACACAATGGCACAATGTTTTCGTCCAGATAACGCTGAAAGGACCTGGGAAGTGGTTCGGCTAAGTTCATAGCTGATGCCTGCAGGGCCTTAGGGTGAAAGTTCTCATCTCTAGGAAAGCTACATGTGCGCAAGGATTGTAGGTTTTTCTGCATCGTTTCTGCTGTGAATGAAATTCTTTTTAACACTGATGGTGGGTTGAAGCAGGAATAACGTCCGACGCTTGTACTCCTTGGAAAGTAGATGAGTGAGGCGTTAGTCGCCTCTTTCACTTTGTGTGGGATTCCGGGCTGCATCTTATGAAGTTCATTGAAGTTTTGTGTAAAGAAGCTTTTGGTTCGAACAGCATCGTTTTACTAGTTTCTGCTGTTGTGTTCTCTAGCCCTTACGAACCAACTGCAGACGGTGGTTACCTTGAGCTACGTACTTTTTCCAATTTTCTGCGCTAGGATTGTTTTGGTACATACGCCATGTCAGATCTCTCAACGCCATAAATTCTCGTATATGGCTTCTCAGCAAGGATTTTGATTTGAAGGGCTATTTAAAGCTTTTGGCCCTGATGCTTCCGCAACTAGTGGCGTGAAGCTTTTCAATGTTTCCCAGGATATTTCTTGGGTGCACTCAGTCATGAATAACTATCGTTTTAGCCTAATGCGGACAATGCGTAATAATGCGCAATGGATCACATCTTTTCGGGCTCTACATCCGGGCATTCAGTGTAGCAGATATATTCCAGCAGTAAAGTCACGTAATCATTTGGACTTAGAGGACTGCACAGGTTTAGCACGTCAATCATTAGCTCCTCGCTGGTGAGCACTAGATTTAACGTTGATGCTTTATTCGCTGTCCTGAACCTGGTTTGAGCAGTGACCTGGTTGTATAGGGGTGTGATAGAGATCAACTTTTGCAAATAGGCCTTGAACTGTTCCCCTTCTGTTTCTGTAGTTTCCAAATCATGAATGTTGAAATCTTTTGTAACGAGGATATGGGTGCATTTGTCACAATATTAAATGTCTGTGGTCTATCTCCGAGTAGATTTGTACGGTTGGTAAACTACGGACACCAGGCATATGTCGTCGTCCTTTAACCACAATTTGCACCAGAGATCAGTGACACATTTTGGGGATCGTCTTGGAGCCCACAGGGAAGATTCATTTAGTGATAACTGACAACTCCCCCATCTCTACCCGTTCTGTCGTTCCATTAACTGACATACCGGGTAGGGCGACTTGAGCGTCGGTACTCCCATGTTTCAACCACGTTTCGTTGATCATAATACCATCTCGTGGCTGCGAAGTTTCACGATGACGGTGTTCGATCAACTTACTGATGAGGTCATGTGCATTAGTATACAAGCGCAATGCTAAGGCTAATGTTGCATGCTTCTTCACCCCAGTTGGGCTAAACCAACTTACACTTAAACTAAGTCCTTTCAAGTTAGCTACATGTCATTCTTCCTTATTTAGTTTGTTCTGCCTGCCTGAATACTTTTCTATTAACTGGCCACATTGATTTCGCTAGTTCTTCTTATTCTCGTTAACTTTATTACGTTTGTGACACTTTTTGTATAACTTGTGGGCATTTTGTACTTATCGCGGATTCTTTGCTAACCAACATACTCCATATGCTGATTTAGCGGAGTTATGTTGGCATAGCCGTATGCTTTAACAGATATTTTTTATTTGCTAAGCTTATTTCAACTTATTGGCTGTTGCTTGATATCCCCGGTGTGGCAGCGCTTGATGTGCATGTTGACA